GAAAAAAAAAAAATATATATATATTAACTATTATTATTATTATTATTATTATTTTTATTAAATATAATTTTTAATTATTTAGTTTTCGAGAGAGAGAGAGAGAGAGAGACGAGGTAAGAGAGTGAGTGGGTGGTTGTCCGAGGGGCTGTGCAGGCGTGGGGGAGGGGAGAAAAGCGAAAATATTACGATTAAGTCCGAACGCAGGTAACGAATTTTTTCACGTTAATAATAATAATAATAATTTATAAAATTAAATGAATGAAAAGAAAAAAATACTAACACTCAGATACACGTACACGTGCGCGTATACGCGTACACACACACACGTGCAAGTTCACAAAAAACACGTTCGTTCACAAACACATAATCCCGCATTTATAAATATATATATACATATATTATTGTACAGTATAAATATAAACTATTATATTACAGAGAAAGAGAGAAAGAAAATTGGAAGAGAGAAAGAGAGAGAGAGAGAGAGAGAAAGCATTTGTAACGGAAAACCGGAAATGAATATAAAAAAAAGTATATATATATATAAATATTAATAATAAAAAAAAATTATTTTTTTAATTTAATTTAATTTTAATTTAATTAAATTTAAATTTTTTTTTTTTATCCGATATTTTATTAGAAAGAAAACTTTGACGTCATCATTATTAGTATTATTATTATTATTATTATTATGATTATCATCGAATATTTTTCTTCGGGGTTTTTTTTTTTTTGTGTTTTTATAGGCAAAAAATTTAAGTTTAAAAAAAAATTAAAAATTTATTTTGTTTTGTTTTCTTTTTTTTTTCTTGTTTCTGTTTCTTATCATTATTATCGTTTTTTTTTTTTTGGTTTGTAACACGTATTATCATCCTGTTAGTATTTATTAAAAAAAAAAAATCAAAAAAACTAAAAAAAAAAAATACAAAAAAAAAATTTTTTAGTGCCTTTTTACATTTTTGTCACCTTTTTTTTTTTGTTTTTTCTGTTTCATTTTTTTTTTTTTTTATTTTAAACAAAAAAAAAATTTTTTTTTCTTTCGTCATTTTTTAAAAATTATTTTTCAATGGTAAAAAAAAAAACAAAAATATTATTATTATTATTTGTTTAATATTATTATTAATTATTAATTATTATTATAATTAATCTCCAGTTGTTTGTCTCCGTGTCTAATCAATCGATAATAATAATAAAATAAATTATTATTATTATTAAATATAATTATAATTATAATGATAATGATAATTTTATTTGTATAGTAATTTAAAAATTATATTGACAATATTATTCAAATCAATAAAAGGAAAAAAGAAAAAAAACAAAAACAAAAAACAAAAAGAACAAAAACAAAATGTTGGCAAATTAATTTCTTTTTATGTGTGAATTCCTTGGCAAAAGCCTTTCGAGAATTTGATAAAGATTTTCTTCTGCTGCCACCTTTCCAGATGTGCGAGAGAGAGAGAGAGAAAAAAAAACAGTTTCGTTAAATATTAAAAGAGTTGTTCAATTTTCTTTTTTATTGTATGTAATTAATTTACTTACCCACGCCAAACTGTTCCTGTGGGATTCTGGAACAGCCGTGTTTACGATTTTCAATGGCCTAGGATTTTTCGATAGTAATCCCACGACGTATTTTTTATTCCGCCACCAGGGCAAACCATCGTAGGGCCTTTTCACACCCGGCAAAGGTTGCCATTTCGTCGATGGTACTTGTGGATGAACGTGAGGAATGGGACCGTGAGGGCAGTAAGGCACTTTGACACCCGTCACTGGATGAATCATATATTTTATCTTGAAAAAAAAAAAAAATCATAGTTTTCGTTAATTAATTAATCGGATTCGAACGTTGTTCTTTCGCGGTTGAGAGACTCGACTCACGTCTTGAGTCCTTTCATCGAACCAATGGGATATATCTTTCCCGGCATGAGCCAAAAGAGGTTTGACTTCTTTTTCGTTTTCGTATTCTTTTACTATCGGAGTGACGTCACAGACTTTACCCAAAAAACTCACCCAACAATCTTCGGGTTTGTTGTGAAGGATGACATCGGTCGGAAGGTAATAACGAAGTCCGAATTCGTTTCTTTCTACTTCTTTTTCCCCTTCATCTTTTTTCCCCATCCATATTTTTTCCATTTAAATAATTTTCATACACTTGTTTTGTTTTGTTTTCTTTTTTTACTCGCTCAATTATTATTATTATTATTATTATTATTTATGAGCAGAGAGGACATGGAACAAGAAATAAAAGAACATAAATTTCTGGAATATGGAGAACACAATAATCATTTGTATGGAACGAGTTTGGACTCGATAAGAGACGTCATAAAACAGGGGAAAATGTGCGTTTTGGATTGCGGTCCGACAGCATTGAAAATCCTTCACAATTCATCTGAATTCATGCCTTACGTAGTTTTCATAGCCGCTCCAGATATGGAACAATTGAAACATTTGTACCACGAAAATAGACCACTGGGAACATCGAGAGGAATTTAACGGT